AGCGAAGTTGGCATCGATTTCAACCGATGGGAACCGAGAGGCGAGAGTGATGGATGAGTGAGTGATTGACTGAGTGAGTGATTGACTGAGTGAGTGAGTAGTCAATGTATTTCCCTCTACTACTTAGATAAACGAAACCGTTATTATTCGACGAATGAGTTAAGTGTGGCTAACTCATTTTACACTGAGAAAAAAACTTTGGTCGTACAAACCAAATGAACGGTATTCAATATCGGCCGAATTCTTTGGTTCATGTAACCACTCTCTTGGTTCTGGGAACCATATCCTCGGTACCAAGCATTCAAATCGAACAGGACCAACGAAAAAGTTCGGTTGCGTGAACCGAAGATACGGTTCCCAGAACCGAGAGAGCGGTTACATGAACCGAACAATACGGACGATATTGAACACCGTACATTTGCGGTCCATATGACCGCAATTTTTTCCTCAGAGTAACGCTGGAACAAGAAACATACCTATGTGCGCCATACTGCTCTTTTGGGGACAAACTTGTACTGCCCAATAAATCCTACATCGACGACGTCACATTAGCAAAAGTGAACAAGCACTGACATGAAATAATCAACTTTCATTAAAATGAAAGATAATCGCGAAGGGGGGAAAAATTAAATGCGCGATTTCCTCTCCATGCTCGACACCTCGAAAACATTAAAAAATCTGTGCTTTGCAGCCTACGTTTCAAACACAACTGATCCTTCCTAATCCGTAAAAAAAACTCCTCTTGACACCGGCTAAGCCTACGCTGAAGGGATACAGTTACTCCCTTGACAAAGGCTGAAACATTTCACTCACCCGTGCCTAATCCGATGTTTTTTACATGCACGCTGTTCTCTTTATTCGACCGAGGATAATCGCGTATTAGACCTATTTGGGAATGTAAGCCACTTTTCTGAGAAACAAGGAAACTTACTTGTCTGTTTAAGGCTTACCCAATTCGTTTGCTGTGAACGCACAGTTAACCCTATTTTTTTTTTTGGAAAAAACGGCAGTGCTTCTTCGTTCCTCAAGTGGCTGGAAGAGGCTTAGAAACGAATCAAAAATAAGGATATAAAACGCCGGCATGTTTCCTCATCAGTACATCATGTAAAAAGCGTTGTATGTTTTTACAGTTCCTATATTTAGGAAAATAATCTCATAATGAAAGGATTTACGTTTACTGCTGAAAACGGAGTGAGTGGATACAGATTTGCCACTAGCTAGGAAAGAAAACCAAAATTAAGACGACAACACTGAATGTTAGAGTCAGTCAGAATTCAACGATCAAATTTTGAAAGCATAAAATTTGATTACAACGTTTTAAAATTCCCACTCAATTTTTCTTTTCTATCAAAGAAACTGAAAGAAATTGTTTGGCTCAGTATTTTTAGGAAATCATCGTGACCGGGTGAGGGAAAATCAAGAACGTTTCGGGAATAATAACGAGTGGATTTATTTTGAAAGATAATTTGCGGCCTTACTTTTAAAATAAGTGCTTTTAGAAATGAGCCGCCAATAGATCAAATCGCTCTCTGACGAGGAACTTAATTCTTGACAAAAAATTAAAAAATTTTGTTCTGAAAAAATAAAAAGAAAAGAAACTTAAATTACCCAGACTTTGGACAGAATTGCGTTCAGAGAGATTGTCTCGAAGAAAACATCGAAACTTAAATACCAATTTCTCCTTCAAAAATGAGTTTTTTGTTGCAAACGAGAAATTTCAGAACACCTCACTCGATAAATCGTCAAATCTACATCGGTTCAATTCGCTGGAATAAAAGCCTTTAGTCTCAAAAAGTATGTCCCGTAGAACGGAATTAAAGCGAGTATATTTCTTTAATGGATGCAGGAAGCACTTTCCCGTCCCGGAACGATGTCAATAAAATATATTTTCACCGAAATTGGTTATTTTCTACCTCCAAATCCTCAGTTTCGGGGTTCGTTAACGGAAAAACTGAAAAGCCCTTCCGAGGGGAAGTAGAAACTTTATGCTAAACTTCACCGCGGAACTACACTCAATTTGTCTCGATGTTTTAAGGTCGGTTTCATCGCGGTCGATAAATCGATACCGATCCGTTCCTTCGATCTGAGAGAGTGATTCTGTGTAAGTCTCCTTGTCCATTGCTACATCACAACTTATCGAAGAAAACAATGAGAGGGTAGTTGGAGAGGTGATTCGAAGTTTTCGAAGCCTTTTATCGACACTCACACGCAAACTTCTAAAACTGCGGCAATAAATTTCCTCGCAGAAGGGTTGTGCCTCGGGCCCGGGAAAAATTTAAAACATTTAACGTGAAAATACCTCGGACGCCCTGGTTCTAATATCAGCTTTTCTGTCTCAATTCGTAGGGGCTCGTAAGTCGTTTTGGGCAACGTTGCCATTGAAAATTTGTGAGCTTCTGCGCTTTAAAATTCATGCGATCGCAACCTTGGAAAAAAGATTTTCGTTCGCAGAGCTGAGGTTTTTTTTAGAGCGATTTTCGTCTAGATGAGTCAAAAAATTCACTTCAAATTACTCGAACCGATGAAAAACTCTGTAATTCAGTACAATGCCAACACAAAGTGCATACTTGCATCGAAATCTGGCGATGTTATACTCTGAACAAGGAAAATTAATATTTTAAATGACGATCTCTTGAAACTAAGTGTTCGTACTGGAACCTTCAAACCACCATGGCTTCGGTCTGGTTTGACATTTTGAGTACTTTTTGCGCTAAAATGTCTGCAAAATACTCCTCAAAGCTCTGATGCTATTTATGTATTTCAAGTTTGTGCAGGCTGATTTTTTTTCTTCTTTGAACGAGCACATGTTCATTAAATCCAATTGCTGAACGCTTGAGCTGTGACATAATTTTCAGGCGTTTAAAATTCCCTCAAGAAACGGGCACTTTTTATTTAAACAATTAATTCTCCTTCAAACACAAGAAGCAAAGTAATACCCTAAGTACTGTCTAAAATCAAATTCCAAAAATTCAAAAAAGAAAAAACCGAAAAGTTGAGAATACATGCAAACAAGTTATGTGCATTACATCATGCAGAAGAAGGAAAATCCATCTCCGCAATACTCGGTTGTATTTTTCTGCAAAGAGTATTTTTTATTGCTGAATACATTCACAGGAGTACCATTAGGTGTTGGAACCTCGCAGTCTTGACTATCAAGGAGGTTAGTTTAAGCCCTCAATCGTTAGTTAATGCGTTCATTTCCATCTACGCCTATTATTTTCACTTGCATGAATGAATGGTGATTTGATCGGAAATTCCTGACTCAAACGGAGTTCCGTTTCCAATAGTTCCCATAATGAGATTGGTTTAGTCATACGTTTCTTTCCAAATTCCAAAGATTGATGATTTGATCTGTCAAGCTATTTTATATCTTTTGGAAGTTGTTGACAAGCAGGCAAATTCTATTCCTCCACTTTTTACTAAATCACGTACGATCCATAAAAATTACTTCTTTCACGATTCTATTTCATTACTCCACACTTTTCTCATTCGCTTACAGTTTAGACCATTATTTCACTCACAATCGGTTGAAATAGCATATATTGCTTATTCTTTACCAAATCAAAAAATCGTTGATAAATCGCTTGTAAAACGAGTAAAAATTATTGTTATATGAATTGACAGGAACCCTCGCGAGGCAGGTAGTTTTCAGTCCTAGGCGGGCGTCTTTCGTTGAAATCCCTTCCCTAAACCCTCCTTCAAGGAATTCTAGATGATTTATACTTTTTGCTGTTGTTTCAACCCTCGGGGACTCTTAAAAAAGAGAGGGAAATAAAAACATCAGGACGAGATAAAAATCTCAAGCAGAAACAATAAATAACATCGTTCGTGGAATTTATTATCGATTGCACGTTGAGCAGATTTTCTTTTCACTATTCCAGTCGGAAAATTAATAGTAAGCGGGGAAATTTGAATTGCAAAATTATTGAGAGCACTTGAACGTAATTGGGCGTTTTACGGTTGATTCGAAAAAGATACTTCAAATCCCTTAACGAGTTTTTCTGAGTACTATAATTGTTCTACCTCTGTGTTTTTAAAACATCAGGATTAGGACAGATACACCACAATCAGCTTTTGAACTTTTGTCATCACATTTTTTTAAAAAAATATTACACCTACTTTTCCATCCATTGGTCTAGTATACGATATAATAAAGTTCTCAACCGAAAAATGTATATATTGTTCTCAAGCAAACAAAAATTCAAAATATTTGAATGAGAGTGACCTCCAACAAAAATGCACGTTATGCGGTGCGCAGAAAATAAAAAGTATAACGTTGGCCACAAAACTATCTCGCAATATAGGCACAATTCCCAGAAAACATGGTTATAGATTAAAAAAACCGAGCTACAAGCCAAAATAGACAAGTAATATTTCAGACTCCAAATACATGTAGATAAGAAAGTATATAAAACTTACAAGGAACAAAACAAAAGTTTCCACCGCCTACAAACTGCGATCTTCAATCTTGAAATATTACATGTTTATTTTGGCTTGTAGCTCAATTCTTAAATGTATAACGATGTTCTATACAGCTTAGCCACTCAAATTTGGCGATAAAATGTTCACAGAAAATGGAGTATCAAGCCCGATTTTTAGGCGCCATTGAGGATTTTTTAGGGGTCAAATTGACTTTTTGCCTATACATTACGGCGCATTTAGTGAAAAGTTAGACGCAATGTGTTTTCGTTACAGAACTAGTAAGTATATAGCTGTAACTTGGGGAAGAAAAAAGCACTAAGAATGAAATCGTTAAGAATAGAAAAACAAGCTTTCACTTGTGCTGAAAATTCTAAGTTTTTTCGATTCACATAGATTTGTTTTTCTTTCTTTATGTTTTTTAGGCGCATTTGGCGCGTTGGCGCCTGCGAGTTTCGAACACTGGTTCGACTAAAGTTTCGAAATCTGGCAACAACTAAAGGCTCATACGGCGTTTTTCCTTAGCTCAGCGGCATAGTAGAGCAAAGATAGACTAAGAAAATGATAATGGTTGAACTTACAGTATCTCGGTGTATTGCTCGTACTGCGGTTCCCGCAGGAGGGACTTGAGGGCGGCCTGGAGCGCCTCATTCTGAAACAGGAAAAGAGATTCGTGAGTCGTCGGCGGCTGTTGATATGTTTGATTAATCGCAGTTGCAGATCGGGCATGGCCAGCATCCGACGGACCGGTGATAAATCTACCCTGATAAAAGGAAAGTTTACTAAACGTATTTACAGAACTTCTCCGTTCCGCGTTATCATCCTTAATTATCCGGTTTCATCAACTCGGAGCACCCCTCCGTCGCTTTCTTCTGACTCTTTCTTCCGCCCTTTCCGCACCCCCCAATGCAACCCCACATTTTTGAGCCGCGGGAGGGGAAAAACTTCCTTCGTTCGAGGGGGTCGTCGAGTGTTTGCATTCCAACTGTTGCGCTCGAAGATCTGGATTACATTTTCCAATAAGGAACCACTATCCCTGGCTCTTCCATAAAGGCACATTTCTGCGTACGAAAACCAATGACACACGGGCTGTTCATAAAATGAGCCACAATGGACGCATTTCTGTCAAACGGAACTAAACGCCATAGGGGGAGGAAGGTAGAGGGGAGCTTGGATTGGCGGCGGAACCGGGCGTCGGGCTCATTCCGTCCTATATACTCGCAAAGCTTTTCCATGGCGCTTAGTTCCGTTTGACAGAACGCGCTATCCGGCATTCTAAATTCCTCAAAAGGAACTCAAATTGGCACTTAGTTCCGTTTGACAGAAATACGTCCAAATAGAGGTTCCTTATTGCAAAATGTGGTCCATCTGTACGATGCACTCACGGCGCACAGTGGATCAATGAGAGTGGTCGGACATGAAATTTTTTACTAAAACCGCAATTTTCATGTTGATTTCGTCACATTTTAAATTTCAAGGGGTGCATGCAGTAGGAAGTTTCACGAGAAAACCAATGAGACCACTTTTTGAACCTCAAAGTTTTCTATAGTCGAAGTTAAGAACGTTTAAAGTTTCTAAATTTTATCCGACCTCTCCTATTGACTCGATCCACTGTGCGGCGTGAGCAGGTCAAATTGAAAGTTGCAAGCAATCCAGCCAGGATTGCTAGAATTTAGAGACAAAGCTATAGACAAAGAAGACAAAATGAATACGAAGCCATCGTTTTGGTGGAAGCAGGTGGTTAAAATGGGCGACCGAAGTAGGTCATAGACTAACTAACGGCAACCCACGAGGGACCCCATAGTTAGTCTACCATTTACCCCCTCAGTCCATAAAAACCACTCACTTCAACCAATAGGATCGCTCCTTACTCCTAATGTCTTCTGTTTATAGCTTTGCCTGTCAATATCAACAATCAGCCCGCAGTTACTTCTACGCTTTTGAAAAAAGACCATGATATGAACGTATTTATGCGAAAAGGCGCTAAACGCCATTTCCAAACTTCTCAGTAAGGCAAGTTTGACTAAAACAATTGGCGTTTCCGTACTAATGGACCGATTTTGGTTTACTTTAGCTTGTTTGAGAGCTGAAGAGTTCCTCTAATTACGTACGTTGCCAAAATTAGGAAAAAATGCATATTAAGCGAGATATAGGGGATTTTTGCACGTAGGTCCATTTCATTTAATGCTCTAACCCGGATTCCGAATTAAATCAAAAGGCGCTATCTCCACTTGAATCACTTGATTGACGCGCGCGCGGCGAAGCTTGGTGGAAACTTGGTGAAACTTGGTACCGGGGGGTATTTTTGGACGGGAAACTCGAATTTCGGGTCAAATTTTGAAAATTCAGAAATCCAAGATGGCGGACATGGCCTAAAATGCTATCTCGGTCCCTATCCAGCCGATCTTGGCGAAACTTGGTATCAGGGGTATTTTCGGACGGGAAACTCGAATTTCGGGTCAAATTTTGAAAATTCAGAAATCCAAGATGGCGGATGTGGCTGAAAATGATATCGATTTCTTAAACAAACGCACTACACGTCTAGAATGGCCGCCAATGAACTTGCGTAAAGCGCACGGGCCGGGTTGTGAAGGCCGGAGGTGGTGGGAGCCCAAATATACCTACGTAACCTCAATCTGCTTTCCCGCTGCATCTTGCCAATGTGGATGAGATGTGGAAATTTCCACGTTTGTAAACTTTAAATATATGGCACTCTACACGGAGAAAAAAACTCGTGCGTGGGACCCGAAGTTTGGGTCTTATGGATCTCTGAAGTTCTCGGATTGAGCATCTGAACACTTTCGGTCTAGCTGTCGAGGTTCGGATCACACATCTGAAACTTCAGTTCTTACGTCTGAAGTCTTCAGGTGTGAGAACCGAAGTTTTTCGGATGTGAGAACCGAAATTTTCGGATGTGAAAACCGAAGTACTTTAGATGTAAGAACTGAAGTTTCAGATGTGTGATCAAAACCTCAGCAGCTGGACCGAAAGTGTTCAGATGCTCAATCCGAAAACTTCACAGATCCATATGACCTAAACTTCGGGTCCCACGCACGAAGTTTTTTTCTCCGTGTACGTTCACAATACACCGCCTCGTCGAGGTGCGTGGTTTACCTAGCAGCGTCGGATCGTGAATTCCCTTCATGTGCTGATTACCTATGTTAAAATTTTCGTATCTAAATAAAACAGTTTCTGTTGTCATGTTGAGCCCCTAATACCGAACTTCACACAAACGATTCAGGCATTGAGCTATTGTTGAAGGCCACATCCGCCATATCGGAGTTTAAAATTTTAACAATGAGGTTATTCAGTAATTTTTAATTTTTGCATTTTTTTTGGAGGATTGAGTACGCAGAGTTCGCTGGAATTTTCTCCGATTTTTTGAAACATTATTAACCCACGGAAAACAAGTTCGAAGTTGCGTATTCTGAGCTCCCATTTAAACTCGCGTCTCCGAGGAAGTCAAGATGGGGCCTGACGAACCCCTAGGTGACGGTCACGCTTTTGACCACGTAATCCTTCCAGCGCGCTCTTAATACTCATGAATTTCTAAATACTGTTCCGATTCCAATAAAGTACCTAACAGTGATTTTAATGAAAATTAAGTGATTCCGATGGGTTCGTTAATTTGTTCGCTCGTTAAAAGCCCCTTGTCCATGTCAGTGCACACTGACATCGATCGAGCCAGAGGGAACGCACGGTCGATATGTGACCGTCACTCAGGGGACGACATCTGGGATTTTTTGGCGATGCGCGTTTAAATAGGAGATAAAATTTTAGGCCACATCCGCCATCTTGAATTTATGAAATTTTAAAATTTGACCCGAAATTCAAGTTTCCCATCCGAAAAAACCCCCTGATGCCAAGTTTCACCAAGATCAGCTGGACAGGGGCCGAGATAGCATTTTAGGCCATGTCCGCCATCTTGGATTTCTGAATTTTCAAAATTTGACCCGAAATTCGAGTTTCCCGTCCGAAAATACCCCCTGATACCAAGTTTCACCAAGATCAGCTGGATAGGGGCCGAGATAGCATTTTAGGCCATGTCCGCCATCTTGGATTTCTGAATTTTCAAAATTTGACCCGAAATTCGAGTTTCCCGTTCAAAAATACCCCCCGGTACCAAATTTCACCAAGTTTCCACCAAGCTTCGCCGCGCGCGCGTCAATCAAGTGGAGATAGCGCCTTTTGATTTAATTCGGAATCCGGGTTAGCGCATTAAATCAAAGGGAATTACATATAGTTCCTTTTGATTTTATTCGTAATCGCTGATTCCCTGTTTTGCGATTTTTCAGGGGCTGATTCGAGGGGATGAAATTAGTATTTTGGGGGCATATTTACGTGTGAGAGCAGCCTATTACATGGAGAATCCAGATCCGTTAAAAACTGAAATTTGGAAATTTGGCGCTTAGTTCCCTTTCGTATAAATACGTCCAATATGAGTGAGTTGGATTATGAAATTCGAAAATGAAATCGTATTTGAAGTCATGGCCGGAAAACTACAGTCATGTTAACAGGATGACTGAAGAGAGGCTGCCGAAGGATATGCTTGGCAAGGTTCCTCCTGGAAAGAGACGAAGAGGACGCCCGGTGAAAGGGTGGTGAAGGGGCTGTTAAATGAAATGAGCAAGTGTCAACTCTCTGGAGGGCTCTGGGAGAATAGGAGACTTTGGCGGTTGGGCATTGCAGAGCACCAGAGACCGCTGCGAAGACGGCTCTCATAGATGTATATGTAAGAAAAATGGTCAATTCTGCATTGGGGTTTTTGAAAAAAGACCGAAGTGCAACACTGCCGTGGCTACGGAAGAAGGCAAAATGGACACATGGACTGAGCCAATTTCTTCTTTGGTGGAAAGTTGAGAATATTTCTCCTATAGAAATGCCGGATGCTTCGGTTTGAATTGCGCCTGAAATTATCTGTAAAAAATAGAGAGAGGGAAAACCATTTATCGAAAGAAAATTTTTCCTAAAAATGCGTGTTTTATCAAAAGAAATTAAGCAACGAAGGCTAGTACGGCGCTATTCTTGGGCATGGTATAATCTGCAAAACTTGTAATAAAATTTATTTTAAATAAGAAATTATATAAAATTGGAAGGCGCAGGGAGCGCGACGAGAAGCCTATGAGTGGAGGTCACTTGCAAAAACTACTTGGGTCTGGATTAAACCTCCTCTAACAGCTACAGCTACAACACTCTTAATGATACAAATCGGAAGTTATCGGGTGATACAACTATTTGAGCTTTCGTGTGTTGCACAGTATCAGGCTCAATTAAAGGCGCTTCACCTTTCCCAGCTCCATGCCACGTTCTAGCAGAGAGCTACGAAACATCGTGAATAAAATGATGATACAACTAAACCTGCTTCCGTGTGTTGCACAGTATCATGCTCAATTGAAGGCGCTTTACCTTTCCCAGCTCCGTGCCAGGTTCCAGCACAGAGCTACGATACATCGTGAATAAAATGATGATACAACGAAACCAGCTTCCGTGTGTTGCGGGGTGTCATTCCTTGTGGAAGGCGCTTTTTCCAGCTGATAAATGGATCACTCGTCTGAGGCAGCAGCGGCAATACATCCACCGCAACTGAAGACAGTCGAATCCTCGATTCTATCCTTCATTGTTCCCTCGTAATCGATTTCCCGAAGTTAGGAA